GCCTCCTCATTGGCATCCATGTTCAGGGGTCTGGATCAGTCCCATGCTGTCCTCCAAGACAGCACTCTGGGGTCCATGTGCTCCCCCTTGTTCAGGCCAGCTGTTTCTGTGGGTTTCACCAGCCTGGTCTTGACCCCTTTGATCTTCATTGCTCACTCTCTGCAACTGGGTTCCAGAGTTCAGTGTTTATCTGTGGGTGTCTGCATCTCCTTTCATCAGCCACTGGATGAGGGCTCTAGGATGGCATATAAAGTAGTCATCAGTCTCATTATAGGGGAAGGGCATTTAGGTTATCCTCTCCACCATTGCTTAGATTGTCAGTTAGTGTCATCCTTGCAGATCTCTGGAAATATCCCTAGTGTCAGATCTCTCCTCGGACCTATAATGGCTCCCTCTGATAGGGTGTATATATATATATATGCACACACTTTCCCATATATATGAACACAGACACAACAAATACCTGTCATATGTAACTTAATTTATGGTTCACATCTGCTATGTTTCAGAACCAATTAAGCAGCAGTTGGTAAAGGTTGTAGGACTCTTCTTTTCTTTCTCTTACACACACACACACACACACACACACACACACACACACACACACACAAAGGAAGTATATACATTATTAATCTGCATTGGTTTAAGGACAAATTGAGTGGAGTCCTCTGATACAGAGAATAACAGCCTCTCTTTGGGAAGACTGGTGCAGGCTGTAGGATGGGTGACAAGAATCTCATGCAAGCTGAAGACAGATTCTCTTCTCTGCTTTTCTTCTTTGTAGCAATGACCCATTCCCTGGTGCCCTTTACCCTCAACTTCACCATCACAAATGTACAATTCACACCAGTTATGAAACATCCAGGATCCTTAAAGTTCAATAAAACAGAGGCAGTCCTGCAGCGCCTGGTAAGAGCCATTATGTAATGACCACACATTTATCCCTCTTAATCTTGCCCAAAATTCCTTACTCTTCTTTCTCCTTCCCTTCCAGCTTGCTGCTGTGTTCAAGAATACAACCATTGGTCCAATGTACTCTGGGTGCCAATTGACCTTGCTCATGTAAGATGTCTAAAACTGTGTGCTTACATTCCTATCTTCCCACATTCCTGACTCTCCCTGTTTCCCACATGTTCATCAAAGCAGCACTGAGTACCAAGAATATGCTCTCTATTGAATCTTCTCATCAGTCCTCAACCTCTGCATTTCTTTCTGGTCATAATCGAGATGTAGAATATGCCCCCAGGAATAAATTCTCAGCAATATTCAAAATTACTCTACATTTGAGAAAATGTATAAATCCAAACTGAATAGTGTTTATGGCATGGTCACCTCTCTTTTGAAAGATTTATTTTTATTTGAGTGAATTCTTTGGGGTGTGTGTGTGTTTGTGTGTGTGTGTGTGTGTGTGTGTGTGTGTGTGTGTGTGTGTGTGTGTGTGCAGATTCATGTATGTCTGCCCATGTGCATGAATGTGTATGCCACAGTCAGAGGACTTATTGGGCGCCATTAGTCTTAAGTTATTTCTGCCTCTAGACTGCAGATGCAAGCTTTTGGGTGATTCTGCTGTCTTTGCCTCCAATCTCTCCATGTCAGTAGTGTTCATGTTGGAATTAACAGCATTTAAAACTTATGTTGTTAGGTTTATGCTTTATCTATTCTTCTCTGGTGAGTTATCTCATTGTTTTACATGTTCATTTCTTGACCCACATTATAAGTGTTCAAGGGGGCGGAAGAGTTGTGTGCACACAGCTAAGACAAAAAGGAAGTGCTAAGAAAGGATAGAACTAAGTTATTTACAAGGTCATTGAGCAGAATCACCTGTTTGATTTTTAGACTTACCTGAGATGATGGTTTAAAGGTTTTAGGAGGCTGGTGCAAATTAACCATTTCTAACTCTAAAATGCTCACCTCTCTCTCTCTCTCTCTCTCTCTCTCTCTCTCTCTCTCTCTCTCTGTGTGTGTGTGTGTGTGTGTGTGTGTGTGTGTGTGTGTGGTGCTTGTGTTATATTTTTGAGACAGAGTCTCTCAGTAAGCCTGCAGCTCACCATTTTATCTATACTGGCTGGTCAAGAAGATAAAGATATCACTCCCTAAACTCTGGTATTACAGATATGTACCACCATGTCCAGAGATTTTTATGGCTGCTCAGATCTGAACTTGGGTCTTAGCTACACAAACTAGTGCTCTTACTCACTGAGCCATGTTTTTAGCCCTAGAATTTCTAGAGTGTCAAGCTGACATTCAAAAAAATTTAATATTAAATTTAAAGATGCAAAATTGGTGAAATCTATACGAATATTCCAAAATCTGGAAAGCTGTGATATCTGAAAAAATTGTATTCCTAAGCATTTTAGATAAGAGATACTCAACTTGAATGTACATGATGAATAAGCATCCTGCCACCATTAGTACCAGTTGGCCTTCCTTGTCCAATTATTATTTATAAATACTAGATTTCTTCCCAGAATGTAGCTTGTGTATGTGGAGCCATCTTGTGTATGTTACAAAACTTGCTGATTCTAAAGTTTTTTTTTCCTTCTTCTTTCTTTATGTTGCAATTTGAGTTTATTCTGATGTTTACCTCTTAGAATATTACTTAAATAATTAAAGCAATTACTTTTGTCCTACTTTAAAATAATTCTAGATTTCTTTTACCTTGTAAGAATGCTAACTTTATTTCTGGTATCTCTGGTGTGTTTGTATATGTGTTCATGCATGGATGGTTGTATTTGTGTCTGTGTGGATATGCTTGTGGCGAGCAGGGGTCAACCTCAGTTATTGCACCTCAGTTCTCACCATCTTGTTTTTCTTGTTTGTTTGGTTGTTGCTTTTGTTTGGTTTGGTTTGGTTTGGTTTGGTTTGGAGATCTCTCATTGTCTTGGAGCTTTCCGATATGGCCAGGTTGACTGGCCAGTCAGCCCTAGAGATCTATCTATCTCACATCCCTAACATCAGGCTTACAAGTGCATACCACCACCTTCAGCTTTTTACCATGGGTTCTTGGACTGAGCTCAGGTGCTAATGCCTGCAAGGCAAGTAGTTTACTGGCAGAGCCTTCTGCCCAGCACTCTGGTATTTTCTGACATTATTATTCATTTTTTGGAAAAGAATTTTATTTTTATTCATATGTGTATGTCTATGTGTGAGCATGCACACATGAATGTGGGTGCCCCTGCAGTGGAGATGTGGTGGGAAGCTTCACCTCAGGCCCTGGCATCCATATACCCAAAGAGTCTGAAATGTTTGGGTGCAAGTTCCACCCCAAGTCCCATCTGCCATCTTTCTCCAACTGCTGCTGCATCTCAGAAAGCCCACCAAATGATGACCCCTCCCCCAGAGATGCTCAAGACCACTCCCACAGGGTATTGAAACTGTCCCCCAGAAAACAGGCAAGTGGTTTTCCAGTTTCTCTTTCCTAGCTCTTCTGGGAAGTGGGGTTTTGGAAAGCCATCTAGGAGCATTGTATAAGTTAAATGTGGGCTTTTTCTAATTTGGTTTGATTTTATCTGATTTGGGTTGCTATGTCAGGGTGTAGAAACTTTTTCAGATGTCACATACCCTGCAGCTGCAGGCACTGAGATTGTGAGCTACCCAACAAATTCAGGTCCTCTACAAGAACAGAAAGCATCATTAATGCTTTATGGAACCACATCTCCAGCCTTCAGGCATAATCTTATAAGCCATCTTCATCATTTTGAATATATTCTCATCACTATATCTCCCTGCACCCAGGCCTGAGAAGGATGGATCAGCCACTGGAGTGAACATGATCTGTACCCATCGATCTGAGCCCACGGGCATGGGGCTGGATCCTAAGCAGCTGTACTGGGAGTTGAGCCGTGAGACCCATGGCATCACCCAGCTAGACTTCTTAACTCTGGACAGGAACAGCCTTTATGTCAATGGTGAGTGGGTGAGCAGCTGCAGAGAACCTTCCCCAGGGAGTTTGCTGTACATTATATTCTCTAGACTAAACACACACACCAGGGGAGGGGCATCGGCAGGGAGAAAAGAGGAGAAGGAGGAGAGAAAGAAGAGGAGAAGTGGAAAGAGAGGGAATAGCTTTTCTGGAAATAGAGGAGAGACTAGATACAGAAGTAGCAGGGGGTGGATATGGTCATGAAGTGAACTGCAGACAACCTGATACAGAATTTCTTCTTTATGGTCTAATGGTATTTTCTTGGGTTTGTCTCCTCTCAATCAAGCAGAAGTGTGTGTGTGTGTGTGTGTGTGTGTGTGTGTGTGTGTGTGTGTGTGTGTGTGTGTGTTGGGGTTGCTAGACAAGTGTTTTACTATTGGCCTCTGATTTTTTCTCCAGCCCTTGGGATCTGGGTTTTGAGAGAATTGGTCAGATATGACTTAAAAATAAATCCAAGTTAGGCAAGGAAACACATACACACCTGTATCTCAGCCACTTAGACTATAAGTGGGAAGATCATGAGTTTGAGGACTCTCTGGGCTATAGTGTGGACTCTGTCTTAATCAAGTATAGAAGATCTAGGGATCTGGGTAAGTGGAAGAATAATTCTCTAGCATGTACAAAGCCTTAGATGTTATCCCATTGGCCCTTGCAAATTCTTTTTCACTGCCATTCCTTGAATATTAACTTTTGTTCCTTTCCTTTATGCAGGTTATAATAATTGGTTCCTGACCTCAACCACTAGCAGTGAGTAATTTGCACTCATGTATCATCGTTTTTCTACCTCCTACCCCACATCCCTAGAAAGGGAAGGAGCCAAAATAGCCTAAGTTTTTCTCATCTGCATCTTTATTCCTTGACTCAGAAAAGATACTCTCAGAACAGATTCAGACAGTGAAAGTGATTTTAAGATATTATGATGAGCAGCCCTTGCCTAGGGAAGCATTCTCTCTTTGATTCATTATAATTTTCACCTAATTGCTACGGCTTCTATTAGTATCTCAGCAATAACTGCAACTCCTGTCTTGGGCTCTGCATGTCTGAGCTTTCACTTTTGGTACCTTTCTACAGGTCTGGTGAAATAGCTCAGTTTGTGAAGTGCTTGTTATACAAGCACAAGGACCTGAGTTCAATTCCCACCATCCACATAAAAACTGGGCATGGTGGTATGTACTTGTAATCTTAGCACTGGGGAAACATAAGAAAGTGTGATACCTACTACAAACCTCTCATTTTATGAGATAGTGGGACATCAGGAAAGCCCTGGGCCTTCATTCATTTGTCTGTTCCACAAGTAGTTAATAAACACTATATTAAATGCCCCGATGGTGTGACATAAACAAAAGAGTGGTCATCTTTGGTGAACAGACAGAAGGGAAGATGAGAAGAAAAGCAGGACTATACAGGTAAGTGCCCAATTAAAATAGATGAGCCTAGCATACAACCTGAGGGTACATGGAGGAGTTTCTCTCTCCTTAGTTTTCTAATGATCTGAATCAACAGGGATAAGGGCCCTGAATAGTGAAATGTTGAGTTAGAAAACCAGGAATGAGAAATAAAGAAGAGGAGGCCAACCTTAGGTGCCATTGGTCAGGAGCCTTCCACAGTTTGTTTTTTAGACAAGGCATCGCACTGGGCTGGAACTCAACAAGTAGGTGAAACTGGCTGGCTAGTGAACCCCCAAAATCTACCTGTTCCCACCTCTCTGACATTGGAATTACAAGTGTGTACCACCACACCTAACTTTTTTGTATATGAATTCTGGAGTCAAGCCCTGATCATCCTCCTTGACATTTGTGTATGAGCTGTCTCCCTACTGTAGTTGCTGCTTTCAAAATATTTTTAAAATTAATTTTAAATGTTGTATTGTGTACAGACCTGCTTGTGCATAAAGGATGGTGTGAGTGTTGAGATCAGAGGACAACCTATGGGAATTAGCTCTTTCTTTCTACTGTGTGGGTCCTTGGCATTAAATCTGGATCACAAAGCAAGTGATTTTGCTGAGTCATCTCACAGATTTTGTACCTTCTATTTTTATAAAAGGAAAAAAGAAAGAAAGGAAGGAAGGAAGTAATAAAGAAAAAAGAAAGAAAGGTGGAGATAGAAAGAAAGAGAGAGAAGGAAGGAAAATCTACATGGGTTGTGCTGCAGGAAAACAAGTTGTGTTAAATGAAAACTCAGGAAATAAAGATGCATGTTAGAATTTTATCAACACAGGGTCTGATATATTTAGTTTCTGTACCATGGTATACTAACCATCACAGAGAAATCCTACTCATGCTTGATACAGGACAGGTGATGCTGGATCCATTCTCTTCTCTGGGGAAGTTGTGATCTAATAGGAACACTATTACTGGAAGATACTCAAGTTCACAGCAGAAGCATCATCTCAGTATGTCTTTCTCCTACCCCCATTGCAGTGCCAGTCTCTCCTCTGGTGCCTTTTACCATCAACTTCACCATCACTAACCTCGAGTACGAGGAGGGTATGCATCACCCTGGATCCTGGAAGTTCAATGCCACTGAAAGAATCCTACAAAGACTGGTAAGAGCTCTGTCCAGTATATGCAGAATTTCCCCCACATGTAAGCCATGCCTATCAGTTAGACTACACTCTGCAAGAGGGCCACATCATCTTTAACCTTGTTCCACAGATTCCAGCTTTACTCACAGATGCTAGCTCCACACATCTCAAAAATAGTTTGTATTCTCTCAGTTCTTGTATCCACAGCCTTCTCCTCTTTCCCCACAGCTCTGGCCTTTGTTCAATAAAACAAGTATCAGCCTTCTCTATTCTGGCTGCAAACTGATCTCTCTCAGGTGAGTCCTAACCCCTCCCCCCAAAAAAAATTCCAGAGATCCTCAATGTGTCCCAAACACAAAGAGCAGTTGGCTTCCTTTCTTTTCTCCTGTCTGTACATTGTCCATGTGAAATTTAGGAAGCACTGGATCCAACATCCAAGGTGTCCCATAATCCAACAACTGCCACTCCAGTCACCCCCACAGCCTTCAGACCATCAGCAGGTTGATTGCCTTTTCCTGTCCCTCTGTTCTGAATCCCCACCTTCCTTTCCTCTGTGAGGAACAAAATGAGCTTTAAATTCTATCCCCAGAATTTCTCTTAAGATTTTGTTCTAGTTTCATTTCTGTCACTCAAAACACCTCAACCAAAAGCAACTTAGAGGTGACGTGGTTTATTTTAGCTCAAACTTTCAAGTGATAATCCATAATTACTTTCAGGAAAGTCACAGCAGCTGATAACTGAGACAGTCACACCACAATCAAGAACAGAGAGAAATAAAAAGAGGAATACTCTCTCAACTACACTCAGCTTGACTTCTCCATTCTTAAACAGTTCATGATCCACTGCCTAGGGTATGGTGCTGACCACAATGGCCTTTGTATTACCACAATAATTAGCTTCATTGATTCCAGCCCCCACAGACATGACCACAGGTAAACCCAAAGGAAATAACCTCCCATTTAAACTCTCTTCTAGGAGACTCAGGTTGATAGCTAAAGCTAACCAGCACAGTCATCAATGTCTTTTACCTTTGCTTCAATTCCCAGATCCTTATCTGTAAAAAATACAAACTCCCCATTCTTCACAATATGACAATGTAGATTAGTGTGCAACATTCAATAGAAGATCTTTACTCTATGTCTGCTCAGGTTCACAGGCTACTGGAAGTCAGTACACTCTGAACCTCTAAGCTTGATGTATCACCTTTATACCAGTCATCTCATCTCCACATGGCTCCTTCCTCTTCTGCCCTCATCATGTCAAGATGCTTATTAGGCAATCTCTTCATCATCATTCTTCCCATCTATCCTTGTCAGATCTGAGAAAAATGGAGCAGCCACAGGGGTAGATGCCATCTGTACTCACCATCCAGACCCCACTGCATCTGAGCTGGACAATGAGCAGGTGTATTGGGAATTGAGCAAGCTGACCAATGATATCACCCAGCTGGGCCCTTACGCCTTAGACAAGAACAGCCTTTACATCAATGGTGAGCAGTGGCCGTATGTGTTCTCTTGTACAGCATGCATTCTCCCCTTCCAGCCTCCATTTCCTCACCCTACCCCATTCTCACTCTTTTGTTATCTCATCAGGTTATACACACCAGATCCTGCCCACCACATCCATGAGTGAGTATTATGAGGCTCTGTAAGTATCTCCTATGCTGTAAGTCACAGACCCCTGAAATAAAAACAAAAGCCCTACATTTCATTCCTGCAGCCCCTCTCCAGATAGGGATGCACAGAAACATGCCCTTTTCCTAAGTCAGGCTTGGACAGTAAAGTGCTTGCATCGGGCCTGGAGTTTGATCTCTAGTACCCATGTAAAAAGCCTGGCATATTGGTGCACATCTGTAATCCTAGCTCTAAGAAGAGTAAATAGGAAGATTCTTGGGGTTTACTTGTCAGTCGGCATAATTGGGGATTCACAGGTGTTACAACGTGGCCTGGATAATGAGTAGTATACTGGGAACTGAGCAAGCCAACCAATGACATCACCCATCAAGGCCCTTACACCTTGGACTTAAAACACAAAGTAAACAGTACTTGAGGAAGAACAATATCCGAGGGGCTGGAGAGATGACAGGCTTGGCTTTCTTTCAGAAGTCCTGGGTTCTATTCCACGTACCCATGGGATGTCTTATAACCATCTGTAACTCCAGTTCTAGACAATCAGATGTCCTTTTCTGGCTTTCCTGAGCACCGGCATGCACATGGTGCATAGACATGATGAGGCAAAACACATAAACTAAAATAAAATAACTTAGACAAAGAATGACAACAGATGTTGTCCTCTGGCCTCCATACGCAGATGCACATCTGCACATTCTATCAAAGTTTCAGGCATTCTCACTGCCTTCTGTTTTCTTGAAAACAAAGGGATTTTCTCTCTAAACACCTGGTAATTTTTTAATCCTCAGCTTCTACAATGACCACCATTTCTGGCAGGATGACAACTCCTGTCTCCAGTCCCCCAGGTAGGAATTTTCTCTCTGAAGATGCTTCTATAATTGCAGCAGGCAAAAGGAGGAATGGAGTAGGTGACACATATCAGTTCCCTAAGAATTCCTTAAATATCAGACCAAATACCCCAAGACATTTTCTAAACCTCATCTATGAAACCCTTAATCAGTCTGTAGTTTTTAATCTTTCCTAGCCCTTTGAAGAGCCCCAAACAGCAGGGCTACTAGTTGAGAACTGAAGAGTATAGTGGTCACTGTGTCAAACACCAACTCAGCAGTAGAGGAGTATCTCAGTAAAGCTATTGGCTTACAAGCAGAACCTGAATTTGATGCCTCAAACCCATGTAAAATTGCCAGATGTAATAGTAAGCCCTTGAAATTTCAGTAAATGGAGGCAGAAATAGGAAAATCTCTGGCCTTACTGGACAGCTGGTAAACTCCATATACACAGGCACGTGTATATGAACATGCACTGTCACACATGCATACATTCACATTAAGAAAAATATCATAGCTAATGTATCAGCACAGCCTCACATAGGCTGAGTGCTTAGAAAACATAAAGACTGCAATATAGCTCTATTCGGTCCTGCCACTTACAGATCATGTGGCCTGGAAGCAAATCCTTCATTATTTCATGGAGTTTTTACACTTGTCTTCCATTTTCATACTACTTTCGTTGCATTTACAAGACTTTGTCCAGGACAAGCAACCAGTCTAATATAAGCAAAGAACTTCAAACACGATCTGATTTACTAACTGCTGCATATCAACAGGTGGCTAAGATGACTTAGGGAATGAAGGTGTTTGCTGCCAAATGTGACAGACATATTTTTAGTCTTGGGACCTACATGGTAAAAGAAGAGAACAAGCTTCTAAAAGTTTTCTTCTGATCTTCACAGCCATGCTTTCGCATGCACACACACACACACACACACACACAGAGAGAGAGAGAGAGAGAGAGAGAGAGAGAGAGAGAGAGGCATCACTAAACAAATAAATAAATGTTGGCACAGTTTTCATTGAAAACTTGTCTTAAATTAATAAGTATGGAGACTTCAGAAAAGATTTGGCTTTAAAAAGCAACTCCAGAAAGGAAGAAACCTACAGCGATTTTTCCAACTGGAGAGACCCATATATTTTCTTTCTGCTTCGTGGTGAAGTCACACACACACAGAATTCCTTTGTAACTTAGTTGAAGCTGACATGAGGTCTCTTTTCCAAGAAAACTGTGTTTCCTAGAGGAAGAATCTCCTCAGTGCAAGACTAAGTCTGCAGCTGATGCCCCAAGATAAAGTTCAGAGGAAAACAATCGCTTAATGTGTGTCTTTCTCCCACCCTCTCTCTGCAACAGCAGGCCCTGTCCTGGTGCATTTTACTATCAACTTCACCATCACTAACTTGCCATTTGAGGAGGACATGAGCCACCCTGGATCCACAAAATTCAATATCACTGAGAGAACCCTGCAGAGCCTGGTGAGAGTCCTGCTCACTGCACCTGGCACTGCACATGGGCATGAGCTACGCCTACCTGTCACACAAATCCCTGGGAGAGTCTACCCGTTGGTTTTGTTTTAAGTTTAAAAATTAGAAGGGGCGAGATGGAAACCGGCATGATGGATATGAACCATAGAGAGTACATTAATCATAGAGTTTATTACAGGGCGGGAGAGTGAGAGACAAGAAACCGGAAGGTAAGAGGGCGTGAGAGGAAGAGGAAGGGAGCAAAGAGAGGAAGGGGTAACTACGTGGAGGTGCTCACTTAAATGGGGGAGCTCGCACATGTGTACTGAGACCTTAAGCAGCCCCGTAAGGAGTGACGTAGCCAGGATCTGGCCACACAACACAGGGCCCTTTAAGCTGCCTAATTATCTGCCTGAATGCTGCATATCCCACCCATTGTCAGGGGGTGGGGCCAGCACACCAGTTCTAATACCTGTGACTCCAAGATGAAATTCTGCAAGAAGACCTGGCCCATCTCAGCCTGACTCCAAGGATGAAATGTCCCAACGCCTTGCCAGTCTCACTTCTGCCCCACCTCTATCTGCTCATCTCTCCTCATTCCTCTAACCTTCTTCCACAGCTGAGGCCCTTGTTCCAGAAATCCAGCGTTGGTCCCCTGTATTCTGGCTGCATACTGACCTCACTCAGGTAGGTTTTAGGTTCTGGAATTGGAGTGCCAGACCTAAAAATGTATTGAGTTCCCTTCTTGTTGTCCTTCTGCATGGCCTCTGTTCAGGTGAAGTGAGGAAGCCCTGATACAGGGTGTCTTCCAATCCTACCACCTCCCTGCAGCAATCTACACACCCAGTAGAATGTTATCACAATTTTAACTATTTCTGATTATCCTGTTTGAATTCCTGATCCCATTTTCTGCCTTTGGAATAAATTCAAATTTGGTCATTTGATTACTCTGAAGACAAAAATTGCCTTTTCCTCTTGCTGTCTGTCCCAGTCTAGTACAAATCAATATGCTCAGACTCTAACTCTGGCTTCTGGTCTTTTCAAATTTTCTTCTTCCCTTTTTAAAAATTGTTTATTTGTTTGATATGCATTTGTGCATATGTATGTGTATATGTAAGTATGTTTGTGTGTGTGTGTGTGTGCACAACAGTACCATGGAATCCATGTGGAAACCAGAGGATAATTTTTTTGGCACTGCCATGTGGGTCCCAGTGATGGAACCCAAGTAGTCAGAACTGGTACAAATTCCCCCACATGTTGATCCATCTCTCTGGGCCTCCGTCAACCTAATCATTTACTCTGGTTACTATAACATGAAAAATAAATGACCCAGAGACAGATATTGAGGTTCAATTTGAAGATCAGGGAAGCAAAGCAGCCACCCACTAGCTCTCAGCTCTGTCTCAGGCTGAAAGGGCTAATCTACACACGAGCTCTTCACCAAGTCTCAAACTGCTGCCTCTCCTCAGTGTGGCTGGAGAACGAGTTCCTCATACTGAATCTGTTCTTGTCTTAAATACCTCTCATGAGCCCTGGGATTAAAAGCGTGAGTCCGTTACTCTTTTAGACTGATTGAATCTTGTATAAGCCTGGGTGGCCTTGAACTCAGAGAGATCCATCTGCCTTTGTCTCCTGAGTCCTGGGATTAAAGGTGTATGCCACCACTGTCTGACCTCTACAGCTTGTGGCTGACTTTCCTTTTCTGAATCCTCAATACATCTTTAATAAATCATAAAGAATATACCACTACAGGCTACTTCCTGCCATATCCTAGCATTTTAGGATGTCATCTTAAGGAAGCCATTTATTATCCATTGTTTCACCTATCCTTCCCAGATCTGAAAATGATGGTACAGGCACAAGAGTGGATGCTGTCTGCACTCACCGCCCTGATCCCACTGGCCTGGAACTGGACAGAAAGATGGTGTATTCGGAGCTCAGCAGGCTGACCTATGATGTCAGCAGGCTGGGTCCTTATACTCTGGACAAGAACAGTCTCTATATTGCTGGTGAGCAGTGGCTACCTTCAGCTTGCTTTAGTGAAGAGCCTATATTCTCCTCTCTCTTACCTCCATATCAGTATTCCCCTCCATTGTCATGCTTTCTTTCATTTTCTTTGCAGGTTACACACATCAAATTCTGGGTACCACCACCAAGAGTGAGTATTCTCAGTTTTTATAAATCTCTACCATACCTATGATTCCCACGTCTTTGGAAGGAAAGAAATCAAAGGCCCAATCTTCTTTCCACAAACTGTGGTGAGAGACTTCCCCTAGAGAGATGTGACACACAAACATCTGCTCATCCCAGGGAGGGAACGGATTACTCACAAAAATAGCAATTACACTACCATTCAAATTGGGTAAAAAGTGAGTTTATTGAGGTTACTCACAAGAGCAGGATGACTCAAAGGTAGCTTCATCGTCGATAGTCACCTTAGCATGCTGAAAACTCACAAAAGCTGAAAGCCTGAAGCTCTCAATTTGACTTGTCAGTATCTCAGAGAGTCTCTTCTAGAAAATTCAGATGGTCAGAGTCTTCTTCCTTAAATGGTTTTCACTGCTTCTATAATCCTGAGCTCTCAAGAATCTCCTAGCTATAATTTAACCAGACTTGTGAAGTTTTTGTTTTTGTTTTGTTTTTTTAAAAAATCTCCCTTTTGGAATGAATGTTTCAATTCAGAGGAAATTGCTAAATGATACAAGCCTATCTCATCTCTATCCTGTGATGGACAGAAATTTAAACACAAAATTAACCCAACATCTGCATTCTCTCCCTGATGTCTCCAAACTAGTGGGGTTTCTACTGTAATCATCTGTGAATTTATCTCCACAGCTTCTATGATGCCCACTGCTTTTACAGTGATGACTGCCAACTCTCCCAGCTCTACAGGTAGGAATGCTCCTCTTTGAAGTTGTTTCTAGTGGTGCTAAAATCTTCAGAGTCGGGAGAAGGAGTGGAAGGTGTGTCGTGTTCCACAGTATTCTAAGGTTACCTTCTTGGTGACTCTCGTAGGTTCTTCCCAGATTACCAAGAATCCCTTTAATCCTATCTATTCCCTGGTACTCAGAATCTCTGGTAATTGTTTCTGATGCTTGTTGGTAGCCATGGACTTCTAAATCTTTTTGCAGCCCTTAGAAGAATGCATACAAGCAGGGCTGTTAGCTGAGACTAGATATCTCATCACTGGTGTGCTATCAAGCCTCTCAGCAAAATATAAAATTCCTAGCTTATCAACTAAGCAATTCACATGCATATTGCTTAAAGGACTCCTGTTACTGAAAAGATAAGTGGTTATTCTGGACAATTCATCATGAATATATTCCTTAATATAAATATGTATCAGGTCCTTTGCCATATGTAAAAACTATAGTCGTATTCTTTAACCAGACTTTTAAAGAAAATTTGATTCGTCCAAAATTGATAAACCATGACAAATCATCCCTATTTTTCAGGATTTTTCTTTTCATTTATTTCCACCCCATCTGTAACATTTTTATTATGAGAACTATTAAAATATCAGGCTTGCAATGGTTCCTTTACCCAAAGGCTACAAATCTGAGTTCAGTCCCTGGAACCCACATGGAAAAAGGAGAAAACCAATTCCCCGAGGTTACCCTTTGACCTCTGTATCCACATGCTCACACAGATGTTCATACATCATCCCCAACACATAATTTTTAATAGCTAAAAAGCCAAATTGAAAAAATATCTCAAAGCAGGGCAAAGAAAACCCTTTAGAATTTAATCTGTTTTAGCAACTTCTCCTATTTTATTCTAGAGTTATATCATCTGGTGATGTAAGCTGCTGATGCAGCCTAATTAATAAAGTTCTGGCCTAACATTCACGAAACCCCAGGTTCGACCCCCAGCATCACTGAAACTGGGTGTGCTGATGGATGCCTGTAATCAGAGTACTTGGAAGATGGAGGCAGAATAATAAGTTTGCCATTCTTTACCACACAGCTAGCTGGAGACTGGGATGGGTAAAATGACAACTTTTTCAGAAAGAATTATAGGATTCATTTTGAAAATTAGTGTTGAGGGGCTGGAGAGATGATTCAGTGGTTAAGAGCACTGGCTGCTCTTCCAAAGGACCCAGGTTCAATTCCCAACAACCTCATGGCAGCTCACACCTGTCTGTATCTACAGTTCCAGGACATCTGTGCACTCTCATACAGGCACACATGCAGGCAAAACACCAATGAACATAAAATAAAAATAAATTATTAAACAAAAACAAAATTAGAGTTGAAATATAGTATTTGAAAAATGTTAACTATATAAAGGTAATCAGAATCTAACACAATAGTATTACCTCATATGCGTTAAAGGAATAATCGATATATAAATACTACAATAATATATCCTGTATTCAAGTTGGATTCTGTAATCTGGGAAAATTATTTAATTTCCCATAGTTTCGGGATTTTTTATTTGCATTTGTTGATTGCTTGATTGTGTGCGTGTGTGTGACTATGCAAAAGTGGACGTCAGAAGACCACTTGGGTCGGTTCTGTCCTTCCACCATGTGGGTTTCAGGGAAATAAGTCATCAGGCTTGACAGCAAGCAACTTAACCCACTAAACCATTTTTTCCAGCCTTCATTGTCTCAGTTTTTAAATTTGTGAAATGGACATCACAATAGCTAATTAGTCCACAATAACAAATCCATTGTGTGTGGGCTCAATAAATAAGACTTCTCACACAAATGACCAACATATGTTTCTTGAGAATAAAAATAAAAATAGTAAGGGCTGGTGTGATAGCTGAGTTCTAATGTGCTTTCTTTGCAAACTTGAGGTTCAGAATTCAATTCCCCAGAACCCATTTGTATTAGAGAGAGAGAGGAGAGAAAGAAGAATAAGAAGAGAAGGGGAGAAAAGAGGAAAGGAACAAAAGGAAAGAAGGAAGAAAATGACATGGTGTTATGTACTTATAATCCTAGCTCATGGGAGATAGAGCCTTGAGGATCACTGGAACTCACTGGAAAGCCAGTCAAGCCTACTTGATGAGTACTTGGCCAATGAAAGACCTTGTCTCAAAGAGAGAATGATAGTTCCTGAATGAAAACAATCTAGGCTGTCCTCTGTCATCTATATGTATGCATTCCCACAAGCACAACCCCCCAAACACATGTGCATGCACACACACACACACACACACACACACACACACACACTCGAGCACAGATACATATTGTGCACGTGTGTGTGTGTGTGTGTGTGTGTGTGTGTGTGTGTGTGTGTGTACATATACTCAATCACAGATATAGCTAAACAGACACAAGTAACCAAAGAGTGAGCAGATATCAAGAACACATTTTGTTTAAACAGAAATTCAAAAGGTGAATGCTTATGTGACTTTCATTCTCCTGAGAGTCACATATATTTCCTTTCTGGTTGATAGTATACTTACCAGTGTAGAATAATCCTATTCATCTTTGGTAACTATCAGGTGAAGCTAATGTTTGAGTCTTCTTTATGAGAAACTGTCCACTTTTCTATCACTTCTGAGTAATAGAAGATGCACATTGATGATGCACCAGCTCAAGTTCAGAGACAGAAAATAAGATAAAGTTCAGATAATGTGTTTGTCACATCCCTTCCCTCCTCCTGCAGTGGCAGGGCCCACTCCACTGACTTTTACCATCAACTTTACTGTCACTAATCTGGAGTATGTGAAAGAGATGGGTCACCCAGGATCCAGGAAGTTCAATGCCACTGAGAGAACCCTGCAGAGACTGGTGAGATACCCACCCCAGTGTATAAAGCCCCACCCACAGGTGAAAGCTGCACTCAGAAAAACCATGTCATGACCATGAAGAAGGCTCCTAAATCCTCAACATAGTTCTCATGCATCTTCCGTTTTTCCACAGCTCAGGGCATTGTTCAGTAAAACCAGTCTCGGCCCCCTGTACTCTGGATGCAGACTGACATTGCTCAGGTGAGATCCATATAATATCAGGCTAAGGACTGCAGAGATAGTTCAATCAATGAAATACTTGCTGACGAAGCATGAGGACCTGAGTTTGATCCCCAACATCCCCCTAAAAAGCCCAGGTGTGATGGCATGTGCTTGTCAACCCAGCACTGGAGCAGTAGATACTGGAGGGTTCCTGGGATTGACTGGCCAGCAAACCTAGTCAAATCAGTGAACCCCGGGTTTCAGAAAGAGAGAGAGGGGAAGAGGGAGAGAGAGAGAGAAAGAGAGAGAGAGAGAGAGAGAGAGAGAGAGAGAGAGAGGGAGGGGGAGAAAGAGAGAGAGAGAGCTATCTCAAAAAAACAAGATGGATGGCTCCCAAGGAAGAATAAACTCTCAAGCTAGTCTCTAACCTCCAAATATATACTTAAGTATGAACACACACATATACACCACCATGCTCCCCCAAGAAAAGATTTTGTAAACACACACACACACACACACACACACACACACACACACACACACACACACACCACAACATGGTGGACTAGTCTTAACTCAGGTATTTCTAAGCCAGTTTGGTCAGCTTGCCTTTTGTCTTTATGTCAGCATTGGGGAATTTAGGACACATAACCTCCAGTACCAGATTGTTTTCTATTCCTACCACCTGTCCTCAGCTATCTCCATAGCCTGCAACCTCCACAGGATCCTAATATTCAGCTATTCTTAATTCTTTCATTTTCTCTGACTTTGGAATAAAGGAAGATTGCAGAAGACAGTTTTAAGTTCAGTGCCTAGGATTTCTCTTCAAACAATGTGATTTTCCACCCCCAATTCCAGTTTTCATCTCTTGTAAATATGAGCCCTCTGGGCACTGTGACATGAGGGTGTAGGTTTGAGCCTTGCATTACATTTAACAGTTTCAGTCCATGTCTGCTCATGCCACAAGGTAACTACCAGAAGTCAGTACATTCAGAGAGTGTAAGTCTGTCTTTTCAGCAATATACCAGATGCTTCATTTCTTCTGGCTCTACCCAGTCTTGTGCCAAACACATCTGGATCCCTCTCTAGGTAATCTATTTAATGTCAATTCCCTTACTTTCCTCCCTTCCCAGGCCTGAGAACAATGGGGCAGCCACAGCAGTAGATGCCATCTGCACCTACCACTCCAACACTTCTAATCGAGGGCTGGACAGAGAGCATGTATACTGGGAGCTGAAAAGAGTGAATGATGGCATCATGCAGCTAGGGCCCTACACCCTGGACCAGAACAGTCTCTATGTCAATGGTGAGCTATATTTCAGAGTCAATCTTCTCTCCTACCATGTCACTACTTTCTCAGTCCTACCCCATTTACACTCTTTTTTCATTATCTCTGTAGGTTATACACAACAGAGTCTGGCCACCACCCACATGAGTGAGTATCTTGTGTCTCCATTATTTGTTAGCAAGTCCATGAGTCTAAATCTCTATTCCATGACTGTAACTCACCTTCATTTAGGGATGAACAGGGAAGGTATCACTCCTTTCTATCTCCTAATACATGGGGTCTCCAGTCAAAACCCTTAAATTATTTTTACTTTTCAGCATTCTTGGTGGCCACTGTTTCTGAAGGAATGCCAAACACTTCCTCCATTCACACAGGTGTGAATTTCCTATTTAGATTTTCCAAGTCATTTGAAAGATCTGCAGAGCCCTGGGGCAGGTGAAAAATCCCAAAGGATCCCAAATAGGTCTTACAGCATCTTCCCAGGTCACTGAGGAATCTTTGATTACCAGATAATGCCCTAGAACCCTTCATCCTAAAACATCCTCTAGAACCTGTTTCTGAATCCTATTGGCCCTTAAAGTCTGCATCATCCATCATCCTTGACAATATAGTACATTCCATCAGGGCTATTTACTGAGGTTATTTATTTGGTCTTTAATGGCTAATGTACAAGGAGCCAGCACATTAAACAATCCAATCTCTAGTTTATCAACTAATCAATGAGCTTGTTTTAATGGCCATTTTTGGCACTGAAAATATAGCTTAAGTGGCAAAATACTTGCCTAGAATGCACAAAATTCTGAGTTCCAACCAGCATCACACAAATTGAGAAGTTCTTGCTTGTAACTTGGGAGGTGTAGACATAATGACCAGAAGTTTAATGTCACTCTTGGCCACATAGAGAATTTGAGGTTAGTGTGAGCTATACAAGAAGGAGAGAAAAAGCTTTTCTTGTTAAATAGATAAGATGTTATTCTTCTTGCTAAATCAGTAATTTGCCTGCAGTGTGTGTATCATCTTCCCTATTGCGAAAGTATAGTCATATCTTATTAGCAGAATTTTAAAGGTTTGATTTATCCAAAGTCTATGAGCCAGTCATTTCTGTAGTTCTGCATTTCTCCCCCACTAATTCTACAATATTTTCTTTGTGAAAACTGCAAAGACACCAAAAAGTAAATAGAGCAAGAAAATCCATCTGCTCACCACTGGGATTTGGTGCTTACAAACAACTTGTGGTTTTTGAATCCAGTAGTGTGAACTGTACAATTTAGTGACATAAAAGCTTGTATAAGTTACTTCTCTCATAGCTGTGACAAAATACCCAACAAGAAGCTGCTTTGGGGAGGAAGGGCTTCCTCTGGCTTAGAGACGGCAGCATGGTGCAAGTAGGAGGTTGACTGATCTCATTGCATCTAAAGTCGGGAATTAGAAAGGAAGTGGAAATGGGCTCACTTCCTCCAGCATGGCTCTACCTCCTAAAGGCTCCACAACTTTCCCAAGTAGTGCCACCAGGTGTGCACCAAGAATTCCAAGACCTGAGACTATGGGAGACTTTTCTCCTTCAGACCACAGCAAGATTCCTAAAAATATTAGACTGCTATGATACATTATCATGTATTCAAACTCAGAGTTTGTATCAAATATATATATATATATATATATATATATATATATATATATATATATGGAGCTGGAGGGATGACTCAGCAGTTCAGAGGACTGCTTTTCCAGAGGACCCACATTCACATTTAACTCCAGTTGCAGGGATCCATTGCCATCTCTGGCCTCAATAGGCATCTGTACATATATGGCACACATTCATACACACCACATTAATACATAGAAATAACAAAACAGTATTTAGAAATATAAAAAGAATCCCAAAACAACACAAACTCACATATTAAGTGAATAATAAATTAATGCTATAATAGCATAGTTATTGTTATATTCAGATCTGTATCTTAGCCATTGCATTAATTGAGACAAATAATTCAGATTCCCATTGGTTCAGTTTTCATATCTGTGAAATGGGAATCATGTTAACATCTCCTAATCCTGTTAAGTGAGTTGAGACAGTCTCAAAAAGACAAATGTTATATTTTTTTATTGTGTAAGTTTTTTAGACTTTATGTAATCACAGAAAAATGTGAAAGAAGTAAAGTTTTCTGGGAGAATGAAGAGCACAAATGAGAGCAGGCAATATGAGAAAAGAAAGAGTGGGGATATGTGTAGGGGGTAAAGAAAATATTCTGCAAAATATGTACCTGTATGAAATATTTCAACTAAAATTTACAACTGTTTAATGTTGTAAAGAATCATCATGAATTTTTAATTTAAAAAATAACATGTTCATCCAAAGTGATAAGCCCTTCTGAGACACAAAAATTCAGAATATGTTTCCTCACATAATTTCCCTATTTGTATTGTATGTATGTGTATGTGTGCATTGTATGTGTGTGGTTGCACATACATTCATGCATGTGTGTATGACATGACGTGTGGACATTGGAACACAACTCAAGGGAATTGATTTTTCTTTCTTCTACCATGTGAGTTCCAGGGATCAAACTCAGGTTATCAGGCTTGACAGTAAGTGTCTTTACCCACTGAACCACCTCACTGTATGTCTAGCTATTCATGTATGTACATATCCATGTGCATATGCAGGTTATAAGTGCATGTATGTGGAAGCCAAAGGTCAATCACGGGTGTCGTTCTGGATGGCTCTCTACCTTATGTACATTATTTATTTATTTGTTTGTTTGTTTGTTTGTTTATTGGTTTTTCGAGACTGGGTTTCTCTGTATGGTTTTGGAGCCTATCCTGGCACTTGCTCTGGAGACCAGGCTGGCCTCAAACTCACAGAGATCCGCCTGCCTCTGCCTTCCCAGTGCTGGGATTAAAGGCGTGAGCCACCAACACCAGCCATATTTATTTTTATGTGTATGGTGTTTTGTGTGCATGCGGTACCTTGTGAGAACAGAAGAGGGCATCAGATACCCTAGAACTGCGGTTATAGATGGTTGTAAGCTGCAGGGTACCTGGGAGCTCTGAAAGAACTACCGATACTCTTAAGTGCTGAGACATTTCTCCAGCCCTTTCAGTTTCTAAGATAGGTTCTCACACCATATATAAAACTCACCAATTCAATTAGGCTGGCCAACCTACCGGTACAAGGGATTAACCTGTCTCGGCCCTTTAGGGGTGTGGTTATAGACCCCACACAACAGTGCTGAGTGCTGGGCTTTTTTTTTTTTTAACATGGGTACTAGCAATAAAAAACAGGTTATTTCAATTATAGGAAAATGGATGTAACTGTCCACACATTGTGAATTGTTGGTCTCAGAAATACAAATAACATATTTTCTCTCTTATTTGTGGTTCTTAGATAACATACATGTTTATATATAATTGTGTATAAGTAGATGACAAGAAAGTTGAAGCGTTACTGCCTTAGGGAATTGATATAATGGGAGATGGAGGAGTAGAAAAGTAGAAGGAAGTGACATGTGTCAGGGAAGGGTATGCTCCAAGCACATTATAGGCTTGCATGGAAGTGGATTATATAAGCCAGCAAAGTAAAAAAAAATAAAAAAAAATAAGAGAGAGAGAGAGAGAGAGAGAGAGAGAGAGAGAGAGAGGGTGTGCTGGAGAGATGGGTCAGCGGTTAAGAGAACTGACTGTTCTTCCAGTGGTCCTGAGTTCAATTCCCAGCAACCACATGGTGGCTCACAACCACCTCAAATGAGATCTGGTGCCCTCTGCTGGCATGCAGGCAGAAGAATGTATACAAAAAAAATCTTTTTTAAAAAAAATAAGAGAGAAAAAATAGATTTATACTATAAAAAAACTCAGAAGCCAAGGATGACTACAGGCAGGCTAGCTACCTGAAGACACAGATATGCTACATTTTGCCTCATGGGTGAAGTTACCTCTATACAATAGTCCTACTTATCCTTGGCAATTAAGCTGAAGTTGTTGTGATGTCTCCCTCCCCCCAAAATACCTGTGCTTCCTACAGGAAGTATCTTGCCAGTGCTTGAATATGCACATAGATGTTGCTCCATGCTGAAGTCTAGAGAAAATAAAAGAGGCTGAGCACGTGTCTTTCTCTCATCCCCTCTGCAGTAGCCCCTGTCCCATTGCCTTTCATTATCAACTTCACCATCATTAACCTGGAGTTTGAGAAGGACATGGGCCATCCTGGATCCAGGAAGTTCAATATCACTGAGAGAACCCTGCAGAGTCTGGTGAGAGTCCTGCTCACTGCAGCCAGCCCTACCTACTGGGCACACCAAGTCATGACCCTGTAGAAGCCTCTGCCCATCTCATCCTGACTAATACATATGCAAAGCTAACTCACTATTGCATGCTTTGCTCATCTACTTCTGTCCTATCTCTATCCCCCATGCCTCCTTCTTATCCCTCTCCTCTTCCTCCACAGCTTAGGCCCTTGTTCAATAAAACCAGTATGGGACTAATGTATTCTGGATGCAGACTGACTTTGCTCAGGTGAGTCCTTTGACCAGCAGGCTAGAGTGGCTTAAAGCACTCTCAGTCCAAAGACTGTGTTCAAATTCCTCCCTGCACTTCTTCTGAATGTCTTACGCACAGATGAATTCCAGAGGTACCATATCTAGTACCCAAATGTCTCCTAATTCTACCACTTGTCTCACAATCTATCAACAAATTGGAACCTCCTTCTTTTCATCCATTTTGAAGTCCCTCCTTCCTCCCCTTACTTAGTAGTAAATGAACATTTCTTATGAACTTTGAAGTTGGCTCAGATGGTTTCTCTTAAGACAAATATGCCCTTTCTGTTCACTAATTTTGACCTTTGGTGCCCCAATTATTGATTCAAATATCTCACTTCTGATGTCTCCTTTTACCATAAAATACACCTGCTTATTTGATTATTACAATTGATAAAAATTCTGGACTCCCGGTCTCCTCAGGTTCACACATTCCTGAAGTTCAATATGATAGAAAATCTACAACTGACTTTATATGCTCCTCTGCTCCTCTGAACCCTTCGTGTGCTGTTCCAGGTATAAGTTTATTATCATTCTTCTCATCTACCCTCCTCAGGCCTGAGAAACATGGAGCAGCCACAGGGGTGGATGCCACCTGTACCTACCACCTAGACCCTACTGGCCATAGGCTTGAGGATGAGCAGATATATAGGGAGCTGAGCAGTCTGACCCAGGGTGTCACCCAATTGGGCCCCTACTTCCTGGACCAGAACAGTCTCTATGTCAATGGTGAGCAGCTGCCATCTGTGCTTTGCCATATTGCAGAGCTCATACCCTCCCTACACAGGCCTTCTTTCTCTCAATTCCACTACAGTTTAAATCTCCTTTTATCTATGCAGGTTACACACATCAGATCCTGGCTACCACACCTAGAAGTGAGTATTCTAAAGTTCCTCAATTTTCTACCACACCCATCACTATACCCAAGCCCTTTGAAATGAAATAAAACAATAGCCTACTGTGTCAATTTCACTCTTCACTTAACCTCCAGCCTGAGATGTATAGCACTTTAAACCCTACCAAAACCCAGGCTTGGACAGCACTGGTGTCTCAACATAGATGATATCTCTACTCCAAATGGATTTCTTTTCCCCTAACAGTGTCTATGGCGAACATTGTTTCTTCAATTATGCCAGCTCCCACCTCCAATCTCACAGGTAAATTCTCTCTGAAAATGCTTCTGGTGACTTCTGTGATAACAGGAGGCAGGGGAAAGGGTGGAGAACTATGTCCAAGAGGATCCTAAGGTTGACCCTTAATGGATGACAGAGGGACCTCAAAGGTCTGAGAATTCTCACAATACTATTTTCCACCCCAGCATCCAACCTCCAAAGCCATTGTCTGGTGCCTGTTTCTTAATGTAGGGGTCGACTGACTTCTAAATCTTTCTCAAACCCTTGGAAGAATATTAACCAGCAGACCAGTTGTCCAAGAACAAATTTGTGCAGAAAGCAATGTATAAGAATATCAACTCATCATGACCCTACAGTGTCCACACCTTCTATTAGATCCTGAAGAAGGAATTTACCATAACATCCCATCTTGTGTGTGTGTGTGTGTGTGTGTGTGTGTGTATGTGTGTGTGTATTCATGAATGCATGCTTGTATGTGCTTATATGTGTGGAAGCCAGAGGTGAGTTTCTATTGTTTTCCCTCAGATGTCATCTCAGAATACAGTGCTGAGGAGATGGGGGTTCAATAAGTAAAGTATTTCTTACTTAATCATGAGGACCAGAGTTTGGGTTTCCAGAACTCACATAAAACCTGAGTGAGCATAGAAGTCTGTAATCACAGGCCACAAGAGGGAAAGACAGGGAATCTCTGAACAAATTGGATAGCCAGACCAACAGAGATTGCAAGCTCTGGCTTTCCTCTGAGAGATCTTGCCTCAATATATAATTGGAGAAAATACCTGACATCAGCCTTGGCTCTCATACACATGTACATGAACTTGCATGCCACACATGTCTCACATGTATTCAAACACACACTTCACACACATATGTCAAAACAGATAAATTCTATGGCTGTAAAGCCTTTTCTTCTTCTCAGAGCTCTCTCACCCAAGGCCTTACTCTGAGCTGACAATTGACCCTGCTTGGAGGAATTAGCCCTGTACCCTAGTCATCTAAGGTCTTCTCTTGACGGACATGCCTCAATGGCAGTGGTGCATGGAAAGTTCTATGGACAGCTACCATGTTGTAGCATGAAGGGAATCAACAAAAAAGAAGATAATTATTCCAAAGCAGTGATAGAGACATATGCCATCTACCCATAGCCACAAAACTGAAGAGCATGTCTTTACCACTTTCCCTAGAGACCATTACTTGCTAATAGCTCCTCAGAAAGGGATGGGCTAGATGAGCCCCTCCTCCATCCATATTAGAAATTCTCTAGGTAAGAATAGCTGTGATTTTAAGTGCAGCACCCATGTGGTGTCCTGAAGACAATATCCCACACCGCTTTTCCCCATCCTGCTCTTACTGTCTTTCCTCTTCCTCTTTTATGGTACTACCTGAGTTTTGCAGGGGTGATGTAAGTGTTATGTTCATATCTAAGCAGTAACAATTATTATCACTAGTTAATAGCCCCATGACTAGTTGAGAGTCCCTGCAGTAACTGCTGTCTGTTATGAAATATGCTCTCTTACCAAGACTGAAAGCACATTGCTATTGCTATTTTAATCGCCAACAGTGTTTAACTACTATTATTCATATCATTCAAAATAAGTTGTTGCTTTTTTAATTCTGGTAGAGATGTCTTGAACTGGTGCCCTAAGTGTGAATACATGGGACCCAATAATATGAATATAGAATATGTCCTAGACCCTAAATCCAGTACCAGTATGACTCAGGTCTGAACCTTTCCTAATCTAATTGCAGCCTCAAGCTCTGCTCAGCTGCTGTTCACTCTTAATTTCACCATCACCAACCTACCCTACACAGAGGACATGTGGGTCCCAGGATATGCCAAGTTCAACAAAGCAGAGAAAGCCCTACAGCTTCTGGTGAGACCCTTCCCTGCACCCCTTGCCTCACCCACTACATCCCCTTTGATCTTGTTTGCTCCCTTCGGCCATATTTGCCACCTGCTTGCCCCACTTACCCTCGAAAGCCTCATTCACTTCTCTCTCTTGTTTGACTTACCATCAGCCACATGCACACTCCATGTTACACTCATTGGTGTCTGCCTACCTTTTGCCTCACCTGCTTAAGGCTTACCTGTTCCCTCCAGCCACACCCCTCTCCCTTGCCTGGTTCACTGCTACCCCATTCACCCACTCCAGTCCTGCCTTCTTGCTACAGTGACAGATGCCTCTTTTACCTCTTCCAACCTAGCCCTCCTGTCTCCAGTTCTAGCCCACTCACTCCATCCATATCCATGTCCCTCTGTCACTTCACCAACTAATGTTCACTCAGATTGCTTTTATAATATTCACTGATTCTCTATCTGCCTTTCTCATCCCTACTCACCTCTTCTTGCTGTGCCTGTAGATTATCCCCGCCCACTACCCACTTGCCCAGACCATTCATTAAATCCCTACCCACCTCTCCATTTGCTCTGCCATTTGTTTTCACCCCATAGTTCTCCTGTGACCCTCCCATGGTGCCCTACCCATCTCTGTCAGCCCAACCTACTTCTCTTGCATTTCCTTCTGGTGACCTGCCTACCTCCCTTAGCCTATTCACCATTGCCCCACCCACTCAATCTTACCATACCACCTTCTCCTTTCCCTACCAACTCACTAAGGCCCCACCCACAAACCCCTCTTGCCCTACTTACTGATATTCACTCATTCTGGTGCCCACCTACCTGTTCCAGGTCCTCCCTCCCTGTCTTACCAAACTCACTTACTGCTTGTCCATGAATTCAAAGCTTACTCACCTCCCTTTCCCTACCCCTTCACTAAAGCCCCACTAAAACCCCCATCTTGGCATATTTACTGGTACCCACCATATCTGTCTTGTTACGCTTTGCCCCACCCATTTGTTTCAGCTTGGACCACCTCTTGCTTCACCAACTTACAGCATACCCAATCTATCCCTGCCTACCTCCCTTGCCTTTATCATTGGTGATATACCCACAGCCCTTGCAGACTATACACAGTTGTTCTACCCACCTGCTTCAGCCATACCAATGTCTTGCTTCCCCCACTGTAGTCCCCCAGCCCACATCTAACACTGCCTGTGTGCCCCTCTTGTCCTTCACTCTGGCATCTGCCCACATCTCTCACATCATATCACTACTGGGTTTACCCATCTCAACCCTTCCTACTTTTTTGTTGTTACACCCACTAGTATCAATTCCATCTATCTTATCTCCACTTATCTCTCTCTTGCCGAAGTCACTGAGGTCCTACCAACTCCCTCTAGTCCTGTCTGCCTTCCACTTGCCCAACCTTCACACTAAAATTCTATCTAATTGCCTTTATTGCCCTGCTGCTGGTTGACATCTCTACTGCTTCTCTTACCCATCAAGCCTCATTGATATTCCCACTTGCCTCACCTATTATTTCCCCAGCCTAGCCCTTCTTGTATGACACTTCTCTTTTGCCTTCTCCCCCTTTTCCCTAACCAGACTGTATATTTAATTGTACACTCTCTCCTCTTCACAGCTCAAACCTTTGTTCCAAAATACCAGTGTTGGCCTAATCTATTCTGGGTGCAGATTGACTTCACTCAGGTAAGACCTATAGAGAAGACCACCTAGGGGGGCATGGTAGAGTTTCCACACATACTTTTCTATGGTTAGGTGTTCCTTTTGGTCCCATCCGTTTTGCAGCTCCTGGGTTATGGCAAATTCTATTCTTTCTTTTTCTTCTGAACTTCAATCTCTCATGTACTGTGTATTAGTTTCTGCTACAGAAACAAACAAACAAAACCCAAACCAAAGAAAACAAAACCAAACAAATATCCCTGAAATCATCACCTTACAAAGAGAAGGTGCTTTTTGCTTGTTTGATTTTTGTTGGCTTTTTGTTGTTGTTATTTTTAAAACATCCAGGCTTTCAATTTTACTGTGTATTGGAGAATGACCTTGAGCTTATGGCTCTCTTGTCTTCACCTCTTGAGTGCTGGGATGACAGGTGTGTACTACCAGGCTCAGTGTTTATGGTGATAGAAAAATGGTACCCAGAGTCTCATGAACACTACATCAGCACTCTGCTAACTGAGCTACAACACAAACCTAAAAAAATTTTAACTTTGATCACAGTTTTAGCGGCACCTATATCCACAATCAGATGGATCATCACTTTTGTTTTATGGAGAGGCAATAGAGTTAAACTGACCATGTCCAGACAAAAACTAGAAGTGAGGAAGAGGAACAAGCTGGTGTCCTATAGTTTCCTTGAGGATACACCACACAATCATCTAAAGACGTCTCACTCAGCTTCAACAATCCCCTATTTCCCAATAATTCCACCCTATGGATGATGCCTGTACACTGTGAACATCTGGAGGATATTTAAGATTTGCAGTACACTATTTCTTAAGAACTCATTTGGATAATCTTTACAAGGGAGCACAACTACTTCTATGACCTTAATTGAAGACAAATCCTCCTCTAATTGTGAAATCCATCCTCTTTAACTAAGCATACAGTTTTAGGAAGGATTTACATGAGTGCTAATAGAGGAAGTGGACACATCCTTAATCAGGCAAATCTTTCCAACTCAATACTGGTGATCAGTGGAGTAACAGATGTCTCAGCCCGGAATTGTATTTCTTGTGACTTATATGGCAAAGCCACTGGAAATTATGAATGAAACTCTTTCATAAGGGACATACCTCTATCCTTTGTAAAAGAAGTTCTACAGTTCAATACATTCCAAGACACATTCAACTGTTTCTGATGGTTCACACAAAGCAAGCAATTAGTATGTGTTAGACACTAAGGTATATGAAAGAGATATTGCCATATTGGCATTGGCATTGTTATGTGTGGTTGTTCTATGTACAGTAGGATACTTAACATTATTATATTAGTCATGGCTCTCCAGAAGATGAGAACCTATTGGTTGATACATATTTTTTAAAGAGATTTATTAGCTTGGTTTATAAGATTCAAGCTGAGTAGCCCAACAATGGCCATCTGTACCCTAGAGAGGTTGAGAACCCAGAAACTTCTTGGTTTATAATGGTACATAACTCCACTAGATACTGAAGGCCTGGAGACAACTGGAAGTCTGTTGGTCTCCAGTCTATGTTTGAAAGAATCTGGGTTCTGATGGCAAAGATGGCTTGATCTTATGCAGATTAAAAAAAAAAAATCCTGATAGCGTCACTATGCCCAATTTGTACATGGGAAACTGAAACCACTAGAGAATATTGAAGAATTTGGAGATTAGGAAAGTTTAGGAATTGAAGAGAACATGAGAGATTTGTAGCTCATGCCTAAAGACAGGTATATGATTGCCAAGAAATCTAGAGAAAAAGAAAACAGGTAGGAAAAACCTGGAAAATGGTAGGGTACATGCAGGGAAGAAGTACTCAGCTGAAAATGAAATCTAGAGAGAGGAAGTAAAACTGAACAGACTTTAGACAAATTAAGAATCATGTGGAGACACAGGTGCTTCATTAATAGGTTTGTGGGGACCCAAAAAAAGGATCTCAGCAGACATCTAACAAAATTTCCCTTTAGGGGGAGAATTGATTTGCCATGATAATAGTGAATCATAAAATACAGGGTACCAGTGAAGCTGGGATTCAGGAAATAAAAGTAGAGCCAATTTTTTCACCCTAGATTTAAAGCGGCATGGTGGGTCCTGTTCATAATCATCCCACAGCATTGCAGTTTTCTGCAGTTTTCTCATAATGCTGTCACAGAACCTCATTCAATGCACCCCGTTATCTCCATTCCTAGATTCCTTCGTCCTCCATTGATAAGCGGTTTCTTATTCTCTACCAGTATTCTCATTTCCAAAAGACATTTCCTATTATGTACCCTGAACCATGGCATCCCTCACTAGTCAATCTACTTATTGCTTCCTCCTCTATCTGCCCTTCCCAGGCCAAAGAATAATGGAGAGGCCACCAGAGTAGACATGGTCTGCACTTACCTCCCAAATTCCACAGGCACTGATCTGGACAGAGAGCAGCTATACTCAGAACTAGAACAGCTCACCCACAACATCACTCGACTAGGTCACTATGCCCTGGATCAGAATAGTTTCTATGTCAATGGTAAGCTGTGGTCATCTTACCTTGTTGTGGCAACATCCAAATTGTCCTTCTCTTAAGATATATGTTATTGCTTCTATGTGTTCCAATCCTCCTTATGCTCTCTTCTTTGATTTCACTCTGTAGGTTACACACACCAGATTGCAGTAACCAGCAACAGCAGTGAGTACTTTAAAATCCCTCACATTACAGTTGGAAGAAGCATGAGGCCCTGACTCTATATCTAGTTAAAAAACATAAAGGAAGGAGTCACGTACAGAGATTTGGAATTCCTTGAAATTACAGACCATGAAGTTGTGTGCATGAGGCCTTTCATATTTCTTCAGCAATGGAGAAAAATTAGATGAATTGTGGAAGAAATTAGTGAACAATCTTATAGGAATATTAGTGAGACTCTTGGTTGAAGAGATAACTCTAAACTTTGCAACTTCTCATTCTTTCTTGTTGGGGTGGGTTGTTGAGTTGCATGTGTATGTAATGTGTCTACATTGGTTAACTTGCATATATTTACATTCATATATAGGCTAATGGTTGATCTGATGTGTCTTCTTATATTATTCTTCACCATTTATTTTATGACAGGTCTTTCATTGCACATGGAGTTCACATACTCAGCTAGCCTATCTAGCTATCAAGCTCTAGGAAGAGATGTCTTCATTTCTCCAGTACTAAGATTACAAGTGTTTGCCACCATTCCCAGCTTTTTCCATGTGTACTAGGGTACAGAGCTCATGTCCTCACACTTGTAGAATGAGCAGTCTTGCCCACTGAACCATCTCGCACATTTTTCCTCCCTGACCTGCAGCACAGGATGGTCCAGCCTTGCCCACAATTAGTAGCCAAGGATACTCACTCACTTCTGTAGTTTTCAGTGAGATGTCGCCAGAATCAGGAATGTGTCCTCAGTCCCTATGTTCCCCGTGTTAATTGCCAAACATGACTCAAAAAGCTTCTCTTCTCCTTCTTCCCCTACAGTTATAGAATCCCCCTTGGTATTATTTACCCTCAACTTCACCATCATCAACCTATTTTATGAGGGGAACATGCAGCTCCCAGGCTCCCGGAAGTTTAACGCCACAGAGAAGATCCTGCAGAGCCTGGTAAGTCCCATGTATTTTCTCCAGCCCTGTTCATTTCACTCCAGCCCTGCATCGTCTTTTTCTCCATCTACATTTCTCCAAGACTCTTCCACAGTCTGCCTACAAGCTCCATTCTTACACACCTCTCTTAAGAACTGTCTCATCTCTGGCCATATCTATCATTATCCAACCCCCATTATCCACTTCCTACCCACCAAACTCTAACTCCCAACACCTCTGACCAGGCTATTTCATTTCATCCTCACCTTGTCTATGATCCCACATATCCATCTTCAGCTCTGCCTCCCTCCTTCTGGTCAAACTGTTGTCTAGCCCCAGCTCTAACACTTCTCTTTAGTCATTTCCACTATGCTGCAGCCATGGCTACAATACTCCAGGCATATCCACATCTCTCCATACCTACACTCTCTCCATCCCCACAACTCTCACCTACACCCCGTTACATTCATCCCTATCTATCCTACTGGTTCATCACATGTAGGTTCTACTTGCTCCTAGCAACACTCTGTATCACCAGTGGAAGATCACTTAGCTGAAGGGTAAGTGCTGTCTATTGGTCATCCATCCCATTGCCTTACCTTCTACTTTCTTTTCCACAGCTTGGGCCCCTGTTCAGGTACACCAGCATAGGCCCTTTTTACACTGGATGCAAACTGACTTTGCTCAGGTGAGTTCTTAGAACATCACCCCATGGTTGCCTCTGTGATCTCAGGTCTGCCAGTGTTACCTACATCCTTCTGTCTCAATATACTCAGCACAGATGGGTACTCAGGAATCAGGGGCTCCAGGAAAACACATCTCTTTTTATCACCATTTTCCCTTGCATCTCTCCCAAATCCCTACAGAGCCCACCAGCAGAATAAGACACCAACTTTGGGTACATTTTCCAGATTATCTCTTACACACACACACACACACACACACACACACACACACACACACACACACACACACACACACACAAAAAAAAA